AGTGGTGGGGCCCGTAGGGACGAGGGGTGCTGATGAGGGGGTAGCTCTGAAAGCGAGTATGAGGGGGTAACGGGGTTGAGGGAGTTTGAGCAGTGACGAAGTAGTCCCTGCGGGTAATGTCGAGGGGGAGGGGGGATTGAGGGGGTAGCTAGCGCTGTGTGAGAGGGGACGGGGTTTTGTGAGAGGGCATGGTGACATAGTTGCAGCAGCAATGTCTTTTGACGAATTGTGTCAATCTTGTTTTTTGAAGTGATTGGCAATCAACAAGGAAGGGTGAGTGAGAGTGAGGGAGAACTGGGTGGAGGGTGGGGGTGGAGAGAGTAGAGAGTTGAAGGTGGAGAAGAGTCGGCGAGGATTGGAGGAAGAGGGCCTTGATGAGGGTCAGGAAGTAGGCTTGTTTGGCCTGCGTGGAGGGAGGAGGTGTGTAGGTGCGGAAGGGTCAGGATTTGTAGCAGGTGAAAGCTTGTTGGGATTTTGTTTTGCGCCACAGTCGCTCCAGGGGGGGACGGGGCCTGCATCGTTTAGGAGGTGTTGATTGGTGTGATCAGTCTGCCAGGGCTTCGGAGCGGTTGGAGTGGGGATGTTGGTGTGGTTAAAGGGCGCTAGTGAGAGTCAAGTGCTGCTGGACAGGGGCGTTGTTGTAGGCAGTCGGGGTAGCCAAGTCGGGGCAGGACAGGGGGAGGATGCGGTCGTTGGAGTGATCAGCTGCAGAGTGGAGGGGGGCAGGGTTAAGGTTGCGGGAGGTTACGGCTGGTAGGTTTGTTGTGTGACATTGAGGAGGGTAGTGGCGTTGGAGGACGAGGAGATAGAGGAAGGTGATCAGGTTGTGGTCAGAGAGAGGGAATGCATGGTACAATGGGTTGAGTGGGGTGTTACCGGGTGGTTGTGAGGGGCCTTGTGGCCGGCGCAGCGGATTGGAGGAAGACAAGATCAAGGATATTACCGTCGGTGTGGGGGGTGGATTGTATGCACTGTGCAAGTGCACAAGGAGGAGGTTAAGTGGGCGAGGACGACGGGCCTGTGACCGGGTTGTCAAGGTTGACAGGGATGTTGAAATCCCCTAAGAATCGATGGTGGGTAGCTCAGAGGAGAGGAAGAAGGGTAGCCGGGAGGGAGAAGTCTTCCAGGAAGCATGGGTTATAATGGATCCACAGGAGGCCCGGTATTCAGTCACTAGGGAATCTCGTTCAATGAGAGGGGGCGTTGGGGAGAATAGTCGGTACGCAGTGGGCCTCGAAGGATTGGAGAAAGGATAGGGAGGGGCGGGTTTGGGAGGACTTTATGGAAGGTGCTCTGCGGGGTGACAGGAGCAGACCAACCCCACCACCTTTGCGAACCGTGTTAGGTCTGGGTGAGTGGGTCAGGTGAGACCTCCATAGGAGAGTGCAAGCAGGGGAGGTAGAGCACGTCCAGTGGTGGATTCCAGGTTCCGGCAGATTGCCAGGATGGTTGAGGGAGCGGAAACAAAGAGGTCGTGCAGGATGGCGGTAAGCCTTGTGGTGCTCCACCGATGCGGGCTGGTTCAGGAGTGCACATGAAAAAGGGGGGGAGATTTTAGGGAGCAGTGTGGACAGATACTAGGTTGCGGGGTTTTGCGGTAGGACATGGAGCGGGGATGGGTGTTGTGCGGGTGAGGGAGGTGGTGGAGGGCCACGATTCGGGGAGATGTCTCCCGAGGCTAGGAGGAGGCAGAAGGGATGAGAAAGGTGGCGCATGGGAGCGGGATGGTGCAGGAGCGTGAGAAACTCCTAGTGGAGGTGTGAGAAACTCCTTCCTCACAAGCCACACATTTTCCTCTCTCCTTCCACCGGGGGGTAACTCTTCTCTCAACGACCTCCTTCTGCCATTGAGCAGGCTCCAACACTTTTTAATGGTGTCCAGACCCCTTGCCAAAGACCCCTTTGGGAGGGAATTGGCCCTAGGACCCCTCAAGTGTGGAGCCAGCCACTCCTACAGATCCACCCTTGCCCCTAAGGCCTTCCTCAAAAGCTCTAGAACAGGGGGAAATTCCTGAGGGGGCTGGCCTGCAAAGCCTCTCAGCTCTGACCACAATTTGACCCTTCTCTGGCTATTACAGCTGGGCTGCTGCTCAGCCCCTGTCTAAACCACTGGAGTCTAGCTTCCCTTAGCTAAACTAGGTGGGTGCTACAATATGGCACTCTGAAGACGATCCATGATCGAAAACGCGTCGAGGTTTGATGTAGCAACTTCCCCTACGTCCCTTCCACCCTTTGGAACGCACGCCATCTGGAGGACTAGCCACCATAGTGGCAGCCATTTTCTCACTGCACAAGCAACCAGGTTGAGTACACCAGGTGCCAGGTTTCATGGACACTTCTTTTGTGAGTGTAACACTTAGTATTTTCCCCATAATTAAAGTAAACAAGGTTTTACACTATGGGATGTTTACTTTTGTTTTTTTATATATGCTGACTATTTGCCTAATCTGCCTGTGGAGCAGAGGAGAGAGTTGGTATTGATACAGCTCATTTGGAGGATCAAGCGGTTACCATTACCAACACTGTTTCACTGGGGATAGTCCCAAAAGCGTAAACAATCATCCTAGATATAGGTGGTCAATGGATGATGGTGAGTATCAGTCAATGTGGGGCACTATTCTGAGCACAGTGGAGCACCTGTTGTATTGTAAAAGGAGTTCACAATCAAGGATTATCAGCACTTTGCACCATATTTTCACTTATTCGGACTGATTTATTTTGTTATTACATTATTGTTTATGTTGATTTTTTTGCACTATGTATGCACGGTCCATATGGTTATTTATGGCCAGCTTTAACCTTTGTTTTCTAAATGTGAATACATTTGGAATAAAAAGAGCAATTCCTTACACAATATAGTATTTCAGTGAAGAGCCTTTTGGTTCTTTTTTTGGTTTACTTTGCCTCACCACCACCTAGATTCACAATTATTTCAACAATGCACAATAACAAAGGCTGCCATAAATCAGGCTAGGGTCTTGTCAATAAGTATTTTTAATGCATTTCTAGCTTTGGACAGTGTAGGAAAAGTTATTTGCTGAGGAGATTCACCTTATATGTTCTGATACTGACCATTGTCACCATGAAAAAGTGCTGGTAAATACGAAATTTTTACAGTTGTCACTGTAAATAGGTGAGTGAAAAATCCACAGTATGGGATATCTGTTGCAGTGGCGACTAAGTGGCGATTTTGAGAGATTATCTTTTTCACTTCCTGTTGTGCCCCGGTAAGTAGAGTAGAGAGGGGACACAGGAAAAACACAACACCAGTTCTAACTATTCCCTACCCTATCCAAAAAGGTTTTGCCTTAGAATATACACTATTTTATGAAAAGTCTCTATACTCTGTGACAGTTGTGGCGATCTGTCACCCTGGATTCTCAACAAGGCAGGTTGAGGGGCTCCAGGGTAAGTGTTTGATATGGAGGAAAGTGGCTTTTCACCTTCCTCCTTTGTTTGTAAGGTCTGTTTTGGGGATCTGGAGCCTGGAGAATTTCGAAGCGATCTGGGGAGGGATGAAATCTCCAATCTGGGACCAGTTTTGGGGAATGGCCAGGAGGATACTAATTGCACAGGGTGTGTGCAGGCCTCTTCATAGAGTCAGGACCAAGGTTCGGGGCTTCCACCCCGGCAGATAGGAGTCAGGAAGGCTCCACTTGGAAGACAGGAGGTCACTGCCTAGGAGTCAGGAGGGCTTCACCTAGGAGAGGTGGAAGCAAAAGCAGCAAAGGGGCTGCTAGAGGACTAGCTGTGTGCTAGAGGCCAGCGGTGTGCAAGTGCCATTTTTTGGGAAGAAGTCTGCAGGAGACAGACAGCAAGCTGAGTGTAAGCCAGGAGGCTGAACCGTTGTTTTGTGGATGATCGATACCCCTGTGTGGGAAACGTCTGTTTGAACTTTCATTTAAATAAAAAGTGGGCTAAAAAGGCCCTGAAAAAAGAAAGCGAGTAGGCTGTGTGCGTTTAAAAGCTCTACCACGTTGAAGCGAGTTCCCACAACTCATCAAGACATTAGATGCCAGTCTCTAACCTGGTCCTTTTGGCTAGATCAGAGAGTGAATTAATGTCTATAACATGCCCAGTGTAACAGCAACCAGACTGATTAGAAAAACCTTTCCCTGTCATTATTGTTAGAGATGAGCGAATTATTCAAAAATTCGATTCGGCTGATTTGCCGAATTTGCGGGTAGAAATTCGATTCGATGCGAATTTATTCGCCGCGAATTTAACTTATTTAAAGGGTTTCTAGGCTTCAGAGAGCCTTTATATTAGTGCATGAACACTGTACCTTTAATTTAAAATGCCCTTGGAGTACTGCTGGGGGTAAGAGAAATAATACTGTCAGTCAGTATGACATGCAGATGAGTGCCGTCGATCTTAGAATCACCGCACACTTCACATCATTTGGGCAGTCACGGGGCACGACGAAGAAGAAGAAGAATGAAAAGAAGAAGAAGAAGAATGAAAAGAAGAAGAATGAAAAGAAGAAGAAGAAGAATGAAAAGAAGAATGAAAAGAAGAAGAAGAATGAAAAGAAGAAGAAGAAGAGAATGAAAAGAAGAATGAAAAGAAGAAGAAGAAGAAAGAATGAAAAGAAGAAGAATGAAAAGAAGAAGAAGAAGAATGAAAAGAAAGAAGAAGAAGAATGAAAAGAAGAATGAAAAGAAGAAGAAGAAGAATGAAAAGAAGAAGAAGAAGAATGAAAAGAAGAAGAATGAAAAGAAGAAGAAGAAGAATGAAAAGAAGAATGAAAAGAAGAAGAATGAAAGAAGAATGAAAAAGAGAAGAAGAAGAATGAAAAGAAGAAGAAGAAGAATGAAAAGAAGAATGAAAAGAAGAAGAAGAATAATGAAAAGAAGAGGAAGAAGAATGAAAAGAAGAATGAAAAGAAGAAGAAGAAGAATGAAAAGAAGAATGAAAAGAAGAAGAAGAAGAATGAAAAGAAGAAAAGAAGAATGAAAGAAGAATGAAAAGAAGAATGAAAAGAAGAAGAAGAAGAATGAAAAGAAGAATGAAAAGAAGAAGAAGAATGAAAAGAAGAAGAAGAAAGAATGAAAAGAAGAATGAAAAGAAGAAGAAGAAGAAGAATGAAAAGAGAAAAGAAGAAGAATGAAAAAGAAGAATGAAAAGAAGAAGAAGAAGAATGAAAAGAATAAGAGGAAGAATGAAAAGAAGAATGAAAAGAAGAAGAAGAAGAATGAAAAGAAGAAGAAGAATGAAAAGAAGAATGAAAAATAAGAAGAAGAAGAATGAAAAGAAGAAGAAGAATGAAAAGAAGAGAAGGAAGAATGAAAAGAAGAAGAAAGAAGAATGAAAAGAAGAATGAAAAGAAGAAGAACAGAAGAAGAATGAAAGGAGAAGAAGAATGAAAAGAAGAAGAAGAAGAATGAAAAGAATGAAGAAGAATGAAAAGAAGAAGTATTTCCAGTACAGCAAAAAGTGTATCTGCAGAGTAGCTCCGCTATTTCTGACAGTTCTCTGACAGTTCCTTCACATTTTACAGCGGTTGAAACATTGTATCTATTTATTTTCCGAATAAAAACATCTGTATCCTAAATGGAAACAAATAGATACAATGTTTCAACCGCTGTAAATGAACTGTCAAAACTGTCAGAAATAGTCGGAGCTCTCTGCAGTGACACTTTGCCGGCTGTAGCTGATCGGGAAAAATTCGATTCGTGCACCCGAAATTGGCTAAAATTTCGGATTCGATGCGAATCGAATTTTTCCCGATATTCGAAACGAATTCCACTTCGCCTGGTTCGATTCGCGCATCTCTAATTATTGTCTTTTCATGAACATTTCTGAAACTTGCCTTAGTTCCCTATCTCTATAGGCTAAACATGAATGTTTTGGGGACTCTGTAACAGGTACAGATACAGATGTCTCAGAATGGTCATATCTGGCCTCTTCTGTTTCAAATGCTATTCAGTTGAACAAACCCACCTGAGAAGCCAGTCTATGTAACTTGCTGATCTGGCAACTTGTTGATCTGGCAGAATCCACAGGCAGTATCAACAAAGAAAACTCAAAGTGAAATCCAATGTAGTTTATTCCGTACTTGTTGCAAGGAATTTTTTGAGCTTTTCTTGAAGCCAAAATAAAAACATGACAGTAGAATATGTCTTCTAACTCTGTGGCAGGAGTTCTTTACTACATGAGGGTAAAGACAAATGGGGAAGCAGGGAGTGGCAACTAAGTACTACTCTAACTAAAACATAACAGGAAATGGAAAGCTCAGAATGTACCAAGACACAAAAACATAAAATAACCAGCATTAAAGCAGACTGTGTGATGGCAGCACATTGCCTGTCAAGCTAACCAATCTGTAGTGTTTATGGTCAACTTACCCACCCCTCTCTAAAGGAACATGCATACACATGCAAAAAATAAAACATTGCTGTTTCTCTGAGCTTCAGAAAAATCCAACGGGGCCCCAAAACATCACTGGTAGAAGCTTTTTATTCTGCTGCCATGTTTTTAAAAAAATGTAAGAGTTATTTTATTATTATAATAAACTGTGCAGATTACAAATATTGGCTATGTTTGACAGGTCACTTGACTAGGCTCCCATTTACAGAGCTTGCTTTTATTTATTTATTTATTTCCTTTATTGTAATGAATGGTGCTCATCTTGCTTCCCTTTCTTGCTGTACTTTGTAAATGTGCAAGCATTTTTTTTGCTATGGTGTCAGAGCCCAACCAAGAATCATCTGATTGGTCAAAGCCAACTCCTTTCTTCCATCATAATAAGAACCAGGGCTGGATCTAGCCTATCTGATCTGAGGGTGCAGTACAAAAATGTAAGTCGTGTGATAGGGATGCAAGGAACCAATTCCCCTTTTCACTCGTACCACAGAGTCATAACCTGGAAGTGTCATCTGACAGGTGGTGCAGGAGTGAACTGGGAATACTGTCATTTTGGAGTGCCTCCCTTTTTGCATTGTATTGGTGGTATTGTTCTGTCACATGTTCTGTCATCCCTTTGTAATGTACAGCGCTGAGCGAACTATCGCTCAGAGTGCTGTTAATAATAATAATTTAGTTTTTTCGGGAGTGCCCCCTTACATCAATTGCCTCCTCAGAGTGCCCCCTTACATTAATTGCCTCCTAGAGTGCCACCTTAATTAATTGCCTCCTCAGAGTGCCACCTTACATTAATTGCCTCCTCAGAGTGCCCCCTTACATTAATTGCCTCCTCAGAGTGCCACCTTACATTAATTGCCTCCTCAGAGTGCCACCTTACATTAATTGCCTCCTCAGAGTGCCCCCTTACATCAATTGCCACCTCAGAGAGCCACCTTACATTAATTGCCTGCCTGCCCCCTCAGAGTAGCCTCCTCCTCAGAGTGCCCCCTTACATGATCTGCCTCCTCAGAGTACCATCTTACATTATTTGCCTCCTCAGAGTGCCCCTTACAACAATATTTCAGAGTGCCCCTCATCAATTGCCCCCTTCAGAGTGCCCCCTTACAACAATGGCTTACTCAGAGTGTTCCCCTACATCAATGTCCCATTCAGAGTGCCCCCTTACATCAACTGTCCCATTCGGAGCATTCCCTTACATCAATTGTCACCCCTCAGAGTGTCCCCCTTACATCAGCTGTCCCCATTCAGAGCGTTTCCCCTTACATCAATTGTCACCCCAGAGTGCCCCCTTACATAATCTGTCCCCATCAGGTCTCATGGATTTGAGTTTCATCCTTACATCAGGTGTCCTCACCAGAGTGCCCCTTACATAAAATGTCCACATCAGAGTGCCCCCTTACATCATTCGCCTCATCAGAGTGCACCCTTACATCAATCGCCTCATCAGAGTGCCCCCTTACATCAATTGCCTCCTCAGAGTTCCACCTTACATTAATTGCCTCCTCAGAGTGCCACCTTACATTAATTGCCTCATCAGAGTGCCCCCTTACATTAATTGTTTACTCCGAATGCTGCCCCTACATCAATTGCCCCTTCAAAGTGTCCCCTTACATCAACTGTCCCAACAGAGTGTTCCCTTACATCAATTAACCCCCTCAGAGTGCCCCCTTACATCATCTGTCCCCATCAGGTCTCATGGATTTGTGGATGCACTCTCAGAGGACTGGGGGGCACATCTAGATCCGGGCCTGAGTACGAACATAGACATCAATCACAACATAACAGGAGAAGGAAGATGCTGCTTTGGACTCCTTGTATGTTGTGATTACTGTCTATGTTCTTTTGATGATGGAATAAAGGAGTTGGCTTTATCCAATGTTCAGCTATGCATGAAGTGTTGTTGTATAGAACCTGTAGTGGTGAGCCTGAACCAACACCTGGTCTGATTTGCAGTGGATTGACCGGGAACCGACTTGTACATGTGATTGGTCAGTTTAACACTGATAGGATAATCATATCTGCGATTTATGGAGCATGTTTGAGCATAAGCAGTTAAACATGTGGAAGATATCTCTGTTATGTTGTGAATACCTGAATAGAGCGTAGATTGAGGAATGTCATGCATTAGGTCATAGTGACAGGAAACTAGGCCTGTGAATTGGATTTCCTGGCAGAAATATTAGAGCCATTCCATAACAATTTAATTCTTATTTTGGACAATAGAACAGCGGAAATGTATATATATATATATATATATATATATATATATATGGTCTCAGTTTCCTCGCCCCTCCTTGTCTCGTGTTCACATCTCCTGCTATTTTTTGCTGGCAATATCGAATTTGCAATAACAACAGTATCAGTGGGAAAAAGGCACTTCTCACTGCATCACTGCTCGGCCGAGAATAAAGGCTCTGTGTGGACAGTTCACAGGGGGGACCCCATCCCTCCCCCGCCTCTCTCACCAAGTCTCTCACAGACAGCTGCACCTGGTGGATTGTTTGGGAAGGGAGATAATATCATGCTTCATTTACTTCAGTCAGGTGAACTGAAACTTTCACTGGCAGATGTGTCTTTTCCCCATCATGTCTTCCAGTACTTCCCTCCTGTTGTGTTTGTGTAAACAAAGTCGCAAAATAAACCTGTCCTGCATTGGGGTTCCGTCGAATCAAGACCCATTGCTTTGTTGTGTCGCAGTGCATGCCTGCTTTCTCTGAGGTAAAAAAGAAAAAATCATACTGGTGACTTGAAGGATAAGTTCACGTTACGTAACATGTTACACACATATTCAGGGTGTAGCATGTAACATGTTACCATCTGACCGGGCCTGCTCCCCGCTTTGATACCTAGAGGGTAGCTGTCAAATAAAAAAAAAAAACGTGGCCGTGTTTGGTTCAGCCGACAACATTCTGTGAATGAGGGACTACAAGTCCCAGCAGCCTTTGGCTACGTTCACTGCTTCCCAAACGCCTCTGGCAATTATGCATATTGCAGCACATGGTGCTGATCTAACGGGAGCGTTTGCGTCGTGGCAAAACGGACGCCTCTGGTCAAGTCAGGAGGCGTTGAAGCCTCCTATTCTAGTCTATGGTGCCGCTCCGCAAACGCCCGGCCGGCGTTTGCGGTGCGGTTGCGACGCGGTTGCAGGGTGTTTGCGGAGCGGTAACACTATTCAAACTGTATTATAGGTGTTTTGTGGGGCGTTTTTAACGCTCGGCAAACGCCTAGCAACCGCCGCTAAACCGCGCATGTGGCGTTTGCCAAGCGTTAAAAAACGCTCCGCAAACGCCAGACCAACGCCTGCTAAACGCTATAGGGCCGTTTGGCAAGCATTGGTAAAACAGCCAAGTGTGAACGAGCCCTTAGGGGCTGTCAGCTTCTAGTCACTAATGAACTACCACAGTGTAAAGCGCCGTGGTAGTTCATTCATTCTTCCTGTCAGTATATCTGCTTGCTTGTACATCCCCTACGTGCAAGCAGATATACTAACAGATCTTCAGGAGACCTGCATGGTATCAGTGCTACTGCTGATACAGAGTACAGGCTCCTGCAACCAAAAATAATAAATGTGAATTTATTATTTTTTTTTCTAAAAGGTGAACTTATCCTTTAACCACTTCCCGACCGGCCGTTGCATATAAACGGCCGGACGGTGGCAGTACAGGGTCGGGTGGCCGTTTATGAACGGCCTCCCCCCACCCTGCTTGTGCGCGCACCCTGGGAGCGCGCAGCACCGCGATCCGGTGCCCGCTGTGTCCTCCGGACACAGTGAAACACCGATCGTCGGACGGGACCTCTGTACGAGGTCCCGATCATGTGATCACTGATTGGCCAATCAGTGATCACATGCAAAGTAGTAAGCAAGATGTCACTTGTGACATCATTGCTTACTACGTGTGAAATCTGTGAATGATCACAGAGGTCACATGGTACAAGGCTATTCACAACAGCCTTGTACCATGTGACAAGCTGTGACCAATCACAGCTCACTCTATTTCTCAATGAGTGCAGGAATGCACACAGAGAGAAAGAGAAATAATTGCTTTTACATCCTATATGGGTGTAAAAGCAATCATTGTAAAAAAAAAAAAAAAAAAAATCTTCATCACCCTCCACAAGTAGTACAGTGTCACCATGGTGACACTGTACTGCTAGGGTGACAGTATGTAAAAAAAAAAATAAATAATAAATAAAAAATAATAATATAAAAAAATAAAATAAAAATGTAAAAAAAAATGTTTAAAAAATTATAATTTTTGGTTATAAACTAATTTGTTTTTGTTTGTTTTTTTACTAAAAAGATAACGAAATACATTTTGGCAAAGATTT